ATAACCCATGCCTTGTCCACCAGTGGAATCAACTCTCTGCGAGGAAAGAAAATAAGATCCAAGCACTAATCATGCATGCCTCACAACGAGCAACGTCCTCTCCTTTAAGTACGCGAGGTAAGAATGTAGCTTGGAATTTTTGGTGAGGTGTTGCTGATCTCTCTATCTCTTGAAGCGCCCGAAGAGACAACGCATGCTACTTTCGATGAATCGGCTGTTTCCCTCCCACAACCGGCCAAGACACACAACTCGGCTTGCAAAAATGGCGAAGAGGTTTGCAAATTTTTTTTTTTCCTTCTCTATATACTGAAGTCTCAATCTTGCAGGCTGAAACGGATTCTACCAGCCGGTGAGCTTGTTTACTTTTCGCGTGGCTATTGGTGAAATTCATCGTGTTCTTGCTTTTAAGGTTGCTTCGACTCGACTATACTGCCGCGATGCGTCCCCATCCTGAGAAGGTGCAAAGCTTACTTGCTAATTTTTGTAGATCTTCTAAGCTTTGCTGTTGACAGGCTCAAAGAGGGGGTGAAGATGCTTTCTTCACTGAAGGCTCCTGGATGGGTGTTGCTGATGGTGTTGGGGGCTGGGCCGGAGAAGGTAAGACAAATCTTTCTTTGAGTCTGTTTTTTCAAAAGAGTTTTTACTGGTTTTCAGGCATTGATTCGGGGATGTATTCTCGGGAGCTTATGGGACATTGTAAGGCATTGGTTGTAAACAGCAAAGGGAAACCGGACCCCAAGGACGTGCTTGTCAAAGCCGCCGGCAGTACAAAGGCCCAGGGATCAGCAACGGTCCTTGTGGCTGCATTGTTTGAGCAAGTAAGCTAGTCGGATTTGATGTTTGAGGCTGAGTCGGGTCATATATTTCAGACACTGTACGCAGCAAACTTGGGAGACTCGGGGTTCATCATAGTTCGCAATTGGCAAGTAGTTGCAAGCTCGGAGCCCATGCAGCATAGTTTTAACTTTCCGTTTCAAGTTGGAAATTTTGGTGACCATCCGACGGTTGCAGAGGTACTCTTTCTTTTCCCTTAACTTCGCTAATTTTCCGTCTACAGGAATTCAAGATCCAAGGGGGACATCATTGTTTTGGGAACTGATGGCCTTTTTGACAATCTCTTCAACAACGACATAATCGACGTTCTTAAAAACTCTCTTGGGTCCGACCAAGTCAACTTGAAGGTGAACTCTCGTTGTTGAATCTCAAGATTGCTAATATTCTCTTCACTTTACAGGCATGTAGCTGGGGCGCAGGCCGAGCGTTGGGACAATTGGAGCGGTGGAAAGCTAGAACGGCAGTTGTTGCGTTTGTGACGTGATATTTGAGTCGCGAAGGGTAAACTTTTTCAAGCAGTTTTTGCGGAGGCCAGTATATAGGCCGCGGTATTTCCGGTTTGTACGCTAATTGAGCACCCTTTTGATTGGCTCATCTTCGTGTCTTTGGTGTCCAGCCTTCATTAGAAACTGGTTTAAATCGCAGGTAGCTGCTGCTGAATCTTCCTTTAAGAAATCAAGGTTTTGTTCCATCAGAAGGTTCACAGCCTGGAAGTTCTAGCCTCACTGGAGATGGAACTCCGGACAGGACAGATATCTCTTCTGTTTAGAGGGAACTGCTCAGGGTGTTAGACATGTCAGGGAATCAGTTCAGCTGGACGATCACGAGCCGGCAACATGATCTCTGGCTCGTCCTTCTCGGGGGTACATGGAGCTGCTAGGCCTTTGGCGCGATGGGATCTTTCGCGACTGCGTGGCTCTCCACCCCCGTCCAAAAGCAAACTCCGGAATGTCATGCTCGGCTCTACATCTCTCAGCCATCCAAGTGGGTGTGCGGGCTTGGAAGTGCTCGAACAACGTTTCGGAAGAGCTGTGTGGGCCGTATCTTGTCTCTCAGCTTGGGCAGACTCTTTGAGTTTGCTCGGATCTCTCGGTGAACCGGTTGGAGGGGCTGGTTCTGAAGGACTAAGTGGTGGAAACCCTGCTACGGTCGGATAGCAACAAAGAGCTCACGGAGAACAGCTTGAAGGACAGCTCCAGGCGAGCTCGTGTGGAGGATCCTTGGTACCGCTCTCGTCCCAGTACCGTGAGACTCCACCAGAAAGATGGTGAGCGACGAAGCCAATTGGCTGGAGCCGTGACTTCCTTCTTCGTCTCGAGTATTTGGTCGCGTGTCCCGTCCACATGGTAAGCCACGGAATTGTTTCTTAGTTGCTCAAATCTTAATTCTTTCTGATCTCCAGGTTGGTAATCACCAACTAAGAGGAATTTCTTGCATTGAGGTGGAGTTCGGTAGGCGACGAAGAAAAACTTTCCAGGATCGGAGGATGAAAACTTACAGCCCGAGCTTGCTGTTCTTCGTGCTCCTCTTCTCCGCCGCGGCACTGCTACTCATATGGGTTCTCGACATAAATTCCGACTCCGCGATGATGTCCCGGAGCCGAACTATGGGATCAAACTTCCGCATCAGCAACAACACCACAAGCTACAACGGCAGGGACACTTGCAGGAGTAGGAAGGAGTACGACTTCTACAGCCGCCGAAGATCGACGAGCTTCGAGCCATCCGAGTCGCTCCAACGGAAAATCCTAGAGTACGAGGCTTTGTACGGGAGGTGCGCTCCGGGGTCCGAGCAGTGCGCGAACTGTAGTACATGCGGCTACCTCGTCTACGTTCCCGCCAGCCAGGGGATCGGCAACAAGGTGGTGGCTATAGTAGCAGCGTTTCTCTACCCGCTGCTCACCGACAGGACGATGCTGATCTCGAGGTTGGAGAACCTGGACACGCTCTTCTGCGAGCCGTTTCCATCCAGCTCCTGGCTGCTGCCGTCGAGCTGGAAGCACCTCGAGTTGGCGCCGTGGGACGCCTCCAAGTGGATTGGGAGCCTGGCGGGTTCGCCAACTGCAGCCGCGGCGTCGACGTGAGCTTCCCCGAGGTGGTGGTGGCCTAGGACAAGGCCTTCTTCTGCCAAGACCACAGCAGGAGGCCATGTTCCATCTCCTGGTGTGTTGCTTCCCAGTGACTTCGTGTGGGACAAGGCGGCCAGGTACTACGACGCGTACCTGGCCCAGGCCGAGCTTCTAGTCGGGGTCCAGCTGCGAAACCACATCTGCCCAACCTCGCCGAGGATACGTTCGACTGCCTGGTGCAACAAGGCGCGCTCGCAAACACCGCCCAGGAGCGAGCTCCCAGATCGTCGGTGAGGAAGAACAGCAAGAAGGTGGCGGTACTGGTGGTGTCGCTCAACTCGCAGTACTCGGAGACGCTCAACAGCAAGGTACTGGGATACGATCTAGCGGACGGCTCCTCGGTGTCCATCCACCAGCCGAGTGTGGAGGGCGTGCAAAACACAGGGAACTTGGATCAGCACAGGCGGTGATGGAGATCTACTTGCTGTTGATGAGCGATGTCCTGGTGACGAGCCCGCCATCCACGTTTGGCTACTCGGCGGCGGGGCTGGCGGGCGTGCGGCCCGTGCAGTTCGTGTGCGACCAGAACAAGAGCGTGGTTTGCTCGGTGAGGGAGACGATGGAGCCGTGCTACCACGTTTATCCGGCTCAGTTCGCGCTGGGCAACATTGAAAAGTGCGAATGCGGCGTGGGTTTCAGACTAGTCTAAAGGACGTTCTTAGAAAGGATGTTGTCTTAGAAAGTTCTTAAAGCTTTTAAGATTTTATTTTCTTTCTCGTGATAAGTTGCTCCTTGGGTGCATCGCGTCTTTTGTAGATTTGCGTGGTCAGCTAGCTCATGCTCTTAGCCCACGCAAAGTTGCGCATAAGCTGCCTTGAAATCCCACATACACGGAAAAAGTAATTTGGTGCCAGACTTCAAATGGCGAACTGTCTTTTTGTCCAGGACTTTGAAAAGCTGCTCGTATAGGTGTTCTGGCTTGGAAGCTAACGAGTCTTGTTTTGACAGATGGCACGCGCAAAGGACTTGACTGTTTAGCAAGCCCGGTGGAGAACTTTTGTGTGAATATAAAACACTGGAGGCCCATTGGATCCAATCGTATCGGAGCAAGCACAGCTCTTGGTTCTTATACAACGATATCATCACTATGTTTAGTGCTTTTGTGGCTGGAATGGATCGTGGAAAGATACTTCTTGCCATCGCATTGGTGATCATGATCAGCGGCAACATCGAATGTTGCAGGCCGCGCTCGTTTTCGGTGATGAGCCGGCAGGCCGAGCTTTTCAATTCCGAATTGCGCCTTCCTGTTGTTAACAAGATCCACACTCTTCTCGAAAGAACCTCCCGGAGAATGGTCATCCAGGGTCAGCCCACGCCAGCTCCCGGGCCTTCCGGGTGCTGCCACGATAATTGAAGAGGCGGACAGCCATGTGGCTGACACCTCACGCTTCGAGACACGTCAGGCTCTTTTCATCTAAATCCTCCACCTTCCCCACCTCCGCTCCCTCCCATTACAGTCACACATCAATTTACCCAGCTTGCGTCCATGAGGCGGTTGTCTCACCAAGGTGAAGGGAAATGATAAAGGCAACTTTCCATTTTTCCTTGGCTTGAGAGCTGCGTGGAATTCCCAGAAGTTCCAGTCCAGCAAGTAAAGTCTCCACAAGACTTTCAGGGATGTCTTGTACAGCTGCGAGCAATCAGCCGTGGTGGTGGCTTGCCCTTGTTCTGGCGAGAAGATCTGCAAAGAGGAGCGGCTGCAGTGAGTCTTGAAGATTCGCAGGTCGTTCGGATTGGGCATTGGGCAGCACTGGCAAAGGCAGATTTTCTCCCACTTGACTGATGGAGTCTCATTGAAATGCACGTCTGTTGCGATGATCAGCGCCTTTGAGACAGGATTGTAGACCTTGTAAGCCTTGTGTTCAATGCTATAACCTAGAAACATGCCTCGTTCGCTTGTTGGAGTGAGTTTTTTTCTAGTTTTAGAGGGGATATCAACGCCTTGGAAGGTGCGGTAATCCATTCGAATTCCACTTTTTGCAAGAACCCTTGACAATCCTGGACCTCAACATTGGCATGTCTATGTTTCCTTACAGTCTTAAGGCCAAGAGTCAAGCTTACTGGGCTGGCTTTGGCTATATTGTTTAGCCTTCACAATGCAGTTGGCAGCAAGAAGCAGAGCGTCGTTGCCTGCTCCAGCTGTGAGGCGGAGGCTAGTTCCGCATGCAAAGAGGCCATCTGGCTTCGCCGCCTCCTCAACGACACCCGGCCCAACACCAATCTACAGTGACAATCAAGGCTACATCGCCTCGAGCAAACATCACAAGATTAATTCCCGGACCAAACACGCACCACGCTGGGAGACACGTCCGGTTCTTTCCATGTTCTTGTGATTCTAATCTCGATAATGCAATCTTAATTGAACATCACCACAGCCTGGAAATCACTGCTCATCAGGATTAAGTTGAGCGTGTCCTGGAGTGTTGAGATTGAGAGGGCTGTCGTTTGGCCATACGAGTAGAATCTGTGTGATCCATATACCTGAGATTGATCGATGAGAATCGAGGATAGAACAGAAGGAGAGCTTACCACTCCCAGTACGACGCCGTTGAAAGCAGTGTGAAACTCAAAGCTTGGTGTCTTGTATTCTGGCCTTGGATACGCGAAGAGAACGAGAAATGACATGCTTGTCCAGAACGGAAGAACTGCAAAAAGAGTGTCTTTTGTTCGTCGTATCATCTAACTGGATTTTGGCAGCATACCGTTTTCACCCTCCGTGACAAATTGGTCGATATGATCGTCAACGCAGCACCAAAACATCAATAGGCACAAGCCAATGGGAATCCCCGCATAGACATCGATGGGCGTGTGCATGCCCAAGTAAAGTCTCCCTGGAAAAAGCAAGGAACACGTTACACCACGCTGAGCAAAGACAACTTGGCCGTTCTTACCGTAAGCAACAAGAACAATCACGAGGCAGATGATTCCCAACACAAGCCACCACACGCGAGAATCGCTTGGAAACTGCTGGTGGTTCATGAAGTAATTAAAGAGATACCTGGAGAAAGACAAACAAAGAACAAAGTAAGACAATGGAATGGATCACCTCGGCACGCGAATACCGCCAAACAATCTGATCTCGTGCACAGCATGAAATGAACATGTTGAAAACTAAGGAAGAAGAGAAAAACTCTTATCGCTTAGATATCATCATCACTATACATATACAAGGTGAGAGTCGTGACTCTCCAGATCCACCACGTGTCACCACGTGTCTCAGCCGTACGGTGATTTCGAATGTACTACATCCTCACAGAACATTCTTTGTGCCTCTCCCGATAGAGCCATACAGAACCTTCTCATGTCCAGCCACTCGATTATTATATGCAGCACACTCAAATACATCCAGGTAAATCTCGAAATCCTCTCAAAGTAGGCTAAAGGAGATACTTTCTGAACTTGCCAAAAGCCTCTTCTAACACATGCTTGAGGATTAGAGAGGGCTTGGGTGAGTTGGCAAAGTGTAGTTTTGGTCTTTCTCTTGAAGATCATGGACCTCACTTCACTACCGCATAAAGGGATCACTGCGTTTGCTCATTGTGGCGAGGGCGAGAAAGTCCTCGATGGGAGTGTGGAAGGTGACATTCCGGCCTGCGCCTACATCAGCTCCGTGAATCGCAACAAGGATTTCTTTCTTCTTGTGACAGAGGATTTTAGGATCGCGCCAGGCAGGGATCACTTCGTCTGCATGATCGATATCTTCGGCCGTGGCAGGCAACTGGAGAATGCTGAGGAATTGCTGCGTGCCATGCCGTTTGTGCCGGATGCTCTGGTTTGTAATGTTTCGGGCATTGGATCGACGTATGTGCTGGCAAATCGCTTCAAGAGAGTGTTTAAAATGGAAATTGGCGGGAAAGCGATGTGTTTGTTTTTTATTCTATCTATCTGTGCTTACGAAAGTCTCCACTATCGAAAGGTGAGAGCTTTGAAAAAATAATTTATTTATATATGTAACTTAGTCAAGTCAGCCTCGCAACCTTTGGAGAAACTTTCAAGTCATGCCGATGAGCTCTCTCAGCTTCTGGATGAGACCACGGTCGTCAATCTGGAATGCTTTCGCGATCACGTCGTCATTGATTGGAGGATTGGAATCAAACACCGCCTTGGCCACCTGAGTCGCCCCGGGGTTTTGGCTGTTGAAGCCAGCCATCGCAACCGCAGGCTCCTTTCCAACGTTGAGCTGGAAGTGAACGAGTCCCCGAGGGAAGACGAACAGATCTCCGGGATAGAGCATTTGGGCGAAGAGCTTGTTGTCCGGCAAGGTGGTGACGAATCCGACTAAGAGGTTCCCATGCACGAGGAAGAGCAGCTCGGATCCTCGGGGATGGACGTGGGGGGGATTGGTGCCGCCGGGAGCATAGTCAACGCGGGCAAAAGCTACACCAAAGGTGTTGAGACCGGGGAAATTGTTGACACTCGCCAGCGTGACGTTGGAGCCGAGCTTGTTGTCGGTGTTCCCGGGAGTCGCCAGCAGGCTCGACTTGAAGTCCTCGGCTTTCACATCAGCGGCCGCCTTGCAGACCACGCCGTTTACTTTGATCTTGGAGCCATTGTCTGCAACGCAAAAGTCCTGCAGCATATCTTCATCCGCGGCATGCACAAACAAGATGGAGCTGATTGCTAGGAGGAAGGATAGAACAAAACGAAGATGAGCCATCTTGCGAGCTTGGAAAAGACTGATGGAGCTATATGAGGGAGGGGCAGGCATTTTATAGCCGGAGGAGGGGAGGCGAGGTCCTTTGGACGACTTCGTCGTGAATCGTGCACGATTTTAGGTACACGGTCTTCTCTTCCCTTCTATTTCATTTTTTACTCTTGCTGTCCGCGTAACACAATCTGATTTGTTTGCTGCCAAGTCGTCTCAGAAGTTTTCTTCTACCGGCTTGTCTAGAGCCGTCAAAATCATCTTTTCTGTGTGTAGATAATGACGACCTTGGTTTTGATGGTAGGAACCGGTCTCAGTGAAACTCGAGTTTTACAAGGTCTTACACTAAATTGCTTTATTCTTCTTAGCACCAGAGACTTTTTATGTGTGGAGTTTTAACGGAATTATGGGTATAGTATGGTTATCAATTTTGTAGACAACTGTGTTGTCAGAAGGATACCTACTCACATAGTCAATAGCCATTGTGATTATTGTTTGCATCATTGCCAAGGACAAAATAGAATGTTTATTGAAATTGTTTTAGAAAAGAAAAGGTTTATTAAATGAAAAGTGACCTAAAGCTAATCAATAAAACTGTAATATGATATAATAATTAATAAAATCATATTTTTATCATAGATTTATTTCTATTTTACTACATTCTACAACCATTCCTTATTGATAAGGGCTGCCACTTTATTAATCAATTTAATGCAATAAACTTATGATATTGGAAAGTTTTATAATTTGTTAGTTAGAACGACAAAACTGTTATTTAATTAAAAATTAATGTATATAACTTAGTTATATTCAAGAGTAAAGATATTACAATTCAGATTTAAATAACAAAAAATTGATAAATACATTCTTATAAAAGTTACAACAAAAATAGTCATTATAATCCAGTAAAAAAATTATTATTTATTTTTTAATTTTTTTCCTTATTATAGATATAAAAAACAAACAAATAATACTAGTTGTAAAAAATTATTAAAATTAAAAATTAAAAATTATTCTTATTGTGTGAGTGCTTGGAATATAGAAAGGGAATATAAAAAATGTGCATATTAATTAGCCCAAAAACCCTAATTTATATACAAGAGTGAGTGGTTCAAATTGAAACCAATCTGATGGTTACCAAAATCCTACTACTCTAATATTAGTATATAGCATTGTAGCCATACATTTGGCCCTCACATCATCCCCTCCTTTCGGAATAATGGAAAACCATCAGGGTTTTTTTGTAGACAGGCTAAGATCTAAAGAAATGTCAGGAGGAGGCTGTAAGCGACTAAATTTTCCATTCTACTTTAGTCACTTAACCACACCTCCGACCACTTGGAGGAGTCTCATTCACAACCTCCATCAGTCCAATTCAGGACTTGGGACTTGCTAGCCCCAAGAATGGCATCCATGCCACTCCACACTTGCACCTGGTCCAAGTGCTCCACGTGTCCGGTCCTGAGACCGACACCCAAAGGTACCACTAACATCTCGGCCCGTTACGCTAAGGCCATGGCCATTCACCTTTACTGCACTAGTGGTTCAACACCACTTGCATCACCACCCCGTCTCTCCAAGACTGGGCCATGTGTCCACGAGTGGTCATCCTAGATCCACTCCTTAGCATCCTTAGGATGCCCACAGACCTGGGGAGCTGCCTTCCCCAAAGTCCCTTTGTCAGTTCCTACCAAGTCCCTTTCTGCCCCTGGCCGTGTTTGCCAACACTGCCACTGGATCGAGGCCCACAGGCACGACCACTAAGTCCCACGGTCCTCTGGGACTTCCTCACCACATGACTGTGTCCTTGGTCACTACCCCAGAGGACTGCTCCTCTTCCTTTCCACAGTCTGGGCCTTTGGGACAACATTTCGGAACACCGTGGCCTTACGCGAGCCACCTGGGTACTCTCCCCATCTATCGCCTTTAGGTGCTCTAGCCATGGGCTTAGAGCGGGTTCCGTTGAGCCACACCAGGTATCCAAGTAGGTAGTGCCACCCACACTTGGACTGGGAGCATCGGCCAGTCGATCTCCCGGGGGAACTAGAGCCGGCTCTTGAACACTTCACCAAGCTACCCCGCTTGTCGGTCCGTGTTCACTCTAGTCTTGGACTTCCCAGTGGGCAGCTCATCACCCAACACTGGGTCCGGCCTTCCTGGGCCAAACTGGCCTTTCCTGGCCAAACTGGCTCCACTGCAGTCCTCCCCCTACTATACTTTTGGGGCTCACCAAACCCCCCAGGGTCTGGGAGACGAACGCTTTGGGCTTTCACCCTCTCAGGCTCCGGACTCGGACTCGGACTCGGACTCGGACTCGGACTCGGATTCGGACTCGGACTCGGGCTCGGGTTCGGGCTCGGTCTTGGCCTCGGCCTCGGTCTCGGTCCCGATCTCGGTCTCGGTCTCGGTCTCAGTCTCGGTCCCGGTCTCCGTCTCGACTTCGGACTCCATCTCGGACTCCATCTCGGACTCCATCTCGGGTCCATCTCGGACTCCATCTCGGACTCCATCTCGGGTCCATCTCGGACTCCATCTCGGACTCCATCTTGGACTCCATCTCGGACTCCACTTCGGACTCCAACTCGGGTCCATCTCGGGTCCACCTCGGACTCCAACTCGAGTCCATCTCGGACTCCACTTCGGACTCCAACTCGAGTCCATCTCGGACTCCAACTCGAGTCCATTTCGGACACTCCCACGTGTCATGTGTTGGTCCTTTTGGGTCCCTTTTTGGAGCCTCGCCTTTTGCTCGCTTCGTGCTCGTTCCTCGAGCACTTCGTTGGGAGTTCCACTCCCGCTCTTGACTTTTCAAGTCGGAGCTTTTGGTCCAAACGTGTTACGCTCGTTTGGCTCTCGCTTCGGCCACTACCATGTGGCGCCCTTCCGGCTCCACTTTGGGGCCTAGGGATTTTGTGTCTCACAACTCCACCACCCATAGACGAAGTTCGATGTCCTCATCGAATGGTAAACCCTTTCATAAAGTAACACCCACACGTGTTACCATTTCCATCCTTGGCACCTAGCCAATCTTTGTCTATGGTTTGACATCAAAGGCTCACCATGCCTTGTCCATCCTTTAAGGGGCGTAGTCTCTCCAACTTAGAGACTGATTGGACCACATGTAATGGTTCTCCCCTTTTATTGGTTTAGTTCTCGCTAAACCTCTTAGAGACCCTTCTCTAAGTCAATCCCACTACTCCTTCTCGAGTAGTCTCAATTTCCATCTATTGAATGTTTGCACCTTGGAACTTTTACTCTTTTGACTTTTTGGAAGTCAATTTTCTAGGTGTCTCCAAAACCTTGCATTGCACAGATTGTGCAACTCCACTTCCCTATCCTAGGAAGTTCATTACTTGAGGGCACCA